TGGCTAATGTTGGGTTCTAAAACTGGATCGGGTTTTAATTACAATCGGGTTTCTAATTCGATTAACTAACGGTTTTCTGGGTTTAAGTTTGGTTTACAACGAAACCGATCCAAATCGGGGTTGGTGGATATATAAACATTTAACTTCCAATTTGTGTAGAAATTAAATATATACACATTTAATTTCTATTTCGTGGAGTTATGTACAGAGGATAATATATCGGGACTTACACGCATATATATAAAAGATCAAAGTTAAGGTGGGGAAATAGTCAGTTTTTCCTCGTCTTCTCAATCAAAGTTTCCGACATCGATTGTGAGATTTTGAAACAGAGCAACGAACTCTTAAACTCTGTTACCATCTCTGTCTGCATCGTAAGCTTGATCGCATGCTCTCTATGGTTTTTTTTCTTCTGTGAAATAAATTTTTAGGGAATCATAGTAATGTGTTGTTGAATTTGACATAATCCAGATCTGATTGGTTCGTCTACCAAAAAAACTTGTAAATTATGAAATAGCTCTCTTTCTCTAGGAATGAAATTCAATAGATTTTGATTTTGAATTTCATCGTAATGTGTTGTTGAATTTGACATAATCCAGATCTGATTGGTTCGTCTACCAAAAAAACTTGTAAATTATGAAATAGCTCTCTTCTCTAGGAATGAAATTCAATAGATTTTGATTTTTTGTTTCTGGGTTTCAAAAATCTAGTGTTAAAACTTTGGTGATTCAATTTTAATCTTCGAGATTCTGATTGGTTAGTGATTTTTGTGAATAGATTTGAGCAGCCAAAAAAGATGCAGAAATTTGGTGATTTCAAGCTTCCTCAATTCTTCAATTATCCTCCATACTTCACGTAATCAATCTCTTCTTCAAGTTTCTTATAATGTCTTGAAGATTATGGTTATGGATTGAAGAAAAAGTCTGTTTCTTTTTGTTTTCAGTTTGCAGCCTGTGAGGGATACTCGTGAGAAGCAAATACAGCTATGGAAAGAGCTTATTTTGGATTACTGCAAAACTCACAAAGTTTTCTTGATTGGTGTTGAAGAAGATTTTCCTCTCTTCTCAAACTCTACCATTGATAGTATGATCCATTGTGTCTTTTTCACCTGATTACGTTCAATTAAAATTTGGTTTTTTCGCCTTAGGCTAGGCTGAATAATGTTTCAATAATCACTACTGGTTAAGATCTTAGATTGCGGCTATCTATGTTTTCAAGTACGTTAAAGGGTTAGTCTCATTTGGTTTTGTAGGATCTTTAAGTCATGAAGCAAGGGAAACGTTCCTCTCAGCGATTGTTGGAGAAGGTTAGATTTCGAGACAATCAAGCTCTTATTTGTTCCTTTTTGATCCTTGGTTGTGTGAAATCATGTGCTGGTGATAGAATGAGGTTACTTTCATCTCATGGTTTCGTTTGATGTTTACACAAATGTGTTGTTTTTTTTACGTATTGACAGGGCGTGCGGAGTGGTTAGATAAAGGGCATAGGAAATGTCTGATTCTGTGGCATCGGATTCAAGATTGGGCAGACATTATTCTTCAGTTTGTGAGTCTAATGTGAATTGATAAAAGAGTCGGTTTTCGCTTCTGCACCTTTCTCTGATCTATGTCATGCATCGTCTGTTATCTATCAGGTGAGAGATAATGGCTTAGAGGACAGTGTTATGACTGTTGAAGAAATACGTTCCGGGACAGAATCACATGGAACAGGTATTCTATTTTGGCCCTTATATGATTTTTGTTTTGTGTCGCACAATGGGAAAAACCCGATGCAATTGTTTTCTTTGTTGTTTTAGAACTTCAAGGGATTGATAGGACGATTCTAATGAGGGCCTTAAAGCTACTAGAGAACAAGGGCAAGCTTGCATTGTTCAAAGGAACATCAGCAGATGACGAAGGCGTCAAGTTCTCTGTCTGATGCTACTCTGTAAAACGTCTTTTTGGTAACAATTTCTGTTGGAAAAATCTTATGAACCTAAGAGGGGAAAAAAAGGAGAAACAACTTTTCTTGTATTGATAACATTTAAAATTCTCTAATCACACTTAATCCATTTAGTAGAATGATAATCGCTTTAATAATCTAAGCACTAGACACAATGCTTGTTGAATTTCGCCATGGATTTGAAATTGATGTGTCTGAACCATCCATCTCTTGTAATGATGTCTACAAATACTTAACCATAGTACGCCCGTGTTGCACTAATCTTTATCCGTCGCTGTCCTTTCCTCATGAACGCCTTTTTCTTCTTCAGTTTGTTCATAATCTGTTCACAAAGGTACCATATTCTCTCTTAGTCATGGATACTAACTAACTCAGAGAACCATCATATCTTTTTAATGCAGGACACTTACATTTCCATGGACGCTGCTAGTGTCCATTTGAAACTTGGCTAGAGCTTCGAGTTTTTTGTCAATTTTCTCCTTTTGAGGACGAATCGTAAAGTCCATCGACATTGCTTGTGGTACGCTCGCTCTTCCTACTACTTTAGGAGCTGCTAGCTTGGATAGTCGTTTCCTACATTTGTTTTCCAAAGATCGTTACAGACTTTTGAGAACAAAATTGTTTCAAGATTAGACGGTACCAAAGCAAGTTAATATAACACAAGAGAAACTTACCTCTCAAAGTCAACATCTATATCAAAGTCAGCTTTTGTTTCAGACACCTTAGGAGCTGTCTTGTTCTGCCTTTTCAAAAGAATTTGCTGATGCTCTTCTAGTTCCTCTTCACTGTACATGTTCTCATATCTTGTGCTCTTGTTATAAATGATACGGCTCTGCGAAAAAGAAAGAGGCAATAGGATCAATAAACAGAGGTTAATAACAACAGATTATACAACCTTATAGATCTATGTATACATACCCATTTGTTTAGCATTAGCGAGTCTCTTATTCGGTATAGTTTCTTCGTCTGATTTTGATAAGAACATTAAGACCGTCCCGAGACCGCTCTTACTCAACTGTTCTCTTCTACAGTCTTGATCTAAATCGATACGTAGCTGCAACAAAGAAGAAAACACAAAGGTGAGATCTTTCTTTTAAAGATTGAGAAGCTTATTATGGATTTTGAGAAAGATACAAAAGTTCATACATCGTTGAGAATCGTCAAGACAGCTGCGCGGATGTTTATATTCGGTAAGCTACCATCAGGAAGCGGCTCGAGCCAATTCTTGAGAAGGTTAAGTACTCCATGATCTAAAAATGTAGCTTGAAGTTGTTTCTTTGAGAGAGATTCATTGAGAAGAGGTAACTTCATGAGCTTAGTAATGGCGGGTTTTCCTTTTTTGTTGAGCTCCACGTCGTCTTCTACTGCGATTTCAAGAGTAGCCATAACTTTTTCTACTTGCATCGCAATCTCAGACGCATCTTTCTCCTTTTTGCTCTTCTTTCTCCCCATCCTAAACAGTTTATCTATCTCTTCATATTTCTTAGGACGATTCTCTTTGACCTTATCGCCATCATCATCCTGTTAAACAATAAAGACAATGAGAGTCGAACTTACGATCTCAGAGGAAAACAGAACAAAGGAACAAACGATTCAGACAACAAACCTTGGAGTCGTTTGTAATTGAATCCCACATCTCTTTAATCTCTGTAGAATTATCTGATTTTTGCTTCTTCGAGTTCTTCGATTTCTCAAGACCAGACTCATCTTCCTTTCTCTGTCTCTTCTTCTCTACTTTGTCATTCAAATTAGCCGGAAGTGGTTCCACAATATCATCAAGAACTTGTTCTTCGTCTTCGTATACTAAATTAGGAACAAAAGTCCACTTTTTGTTTAGTCTTCTCCTTGGCAATTTCGATTCATCGTTGTCCTTGAGAACTTGTTCAAGTTCGCTAGAGATGTTTAAAGATTGCGTCACTTCTCCGTTGTAAACCCTGCGTTACAAGTCAAAACAAAAATACATTAAAACCCTAGAAATTGTGAAACACAAAAACCCTAATTTTCAGTCGCACGAAAGGAAGACGAAGAAGAAGAAACGAAACTTGGAAACCTAAAACCCTAGATCGATGCAAGAAGAAGAAAGCATTACATGTTCTCTTCTTGACTCATAATTTCTCTATCGTTTTCTCTCTCGATCGATCTCTGTGTGTTGTTGAGTTCGTAGAATGTTTGATAAGAACAAATTTTGGCCAAAGAGTTGTGTTGTGAACTGTTTATTTATACTACTGGCTTCGTGAAGTCCAAGCTATCAGATTGTGAGTTTTTCATGTACTTTTGATGACGCCACGTCAGCAAATCATGCAGAGAATGTTACTTTATAGAAAAAGGAAATCAAGGAAAAAAGGAATTTTCCAATATTATTTAAAAAACAAATTTCCCTAATTCTCATATTCCAATACAGTTTTAATTAAAAATAATAACTAAAGTGATTAACTGTAAATTCATGATAAAATTTATCTCCATACTGTTTATGAAAAAAAAATATGTTGTCTTCTGAACTAAATTAACTCCATATTTGATTAAAATATTCTAAAAACCCAAAAAAAAAAAAATCCATATATAACAAAATGATAAAATAAATATGCGTCAAATTCAAGTCTTTTATATCTGATCAAATGTGTTATAACTTATAACAACAGTTTTTATGATATATATAACAAAAATGATGCAAGCTTTATTTAATAATTATCTGGTAAATTCTTTAAAAAAAATCGATGGCAATTCGGTAGATAACTAAGAAAAAGAATGTCTTTTTAACAACCTCCACTAAGGAGAGAAACAAAACTTAGACAATTCAATAGTCTTCTTCTCTCCCATTTTGACGCATCTTAAGAAAACTAAACAAACAACAAAGATTTTAGACCAGACAAAGAAAGAGAAGGAAAAAACAATTTTTTCTCCTTCTTTTGTTTGGTTTGTAAAGAGAAGAAAAGTTATGAGAGATTCAATATTCTTTTTAAGGGTAATCATAATGATGATGATGATCGTATCATRKAGATGTGTTTTGGGATTAGAGAACATAAATCCGATATTTTTCGATGAAGGTCTTTCTCATTTATTTGGTGAAGGTAATCTAATCCGTTCCCCTGATGATCGTAGCGTCCGATTACTCCTCGACAAATACACCGGTAAATTTTCTTGTTTTTAAGAAGAATTATGATCATATATTATTGCGACGAAAATTGATTTCCGGATAAACTCCTTAATATTATGTGAAAAGACTCGAATTGTAGGTTTATGGTGATAATGTTATATGATACAAAAAAATTGTATTGATAAGGTTTTTGCATAATTACTTAATTATATGAATTACATGAATTTGAAAATAGATGGCAAAATGATGATTATGAAAGTTCGTGGTTACACCGGTTGTCAAATTTGTGTAGTTTTTTTTTTTCTCTTTTCATCAGTTTCATACATTTTTCCCCTTTGAATCTACTAACTTGTAGTGTCACTATATCAAATGATTGTATTTTATTAAATATCGAATACGAAATTATTTATAACATTGAATTTGTTTAGGGTCCGGATTCATTTCTTCAAGCATGTATCAACATGGATTTTTCAGCTCGTTGATAAAGTTGCCGGGAGCTTATGTAAGAATTTAGAGTATATGCGGAAATATAAACGTTAATATTAAGAGAGAGTTTAGAGAAGTATAGAGAGAATGAGAGTTTAGAGAGAAGTATAAGTTTCAGATTAAAGGATAATTCTTCATTAATTGTAAAGAATGTACATGAGAAAGATTATATACAAGTATAATCATAAACCAGAGCTAAACCAATCTATATACTAAGCTTAACCAATTAAACCATATAATCTATATAAACCAATATCTATGTACTCTAATAATAAGAGTTTAGAGAAACATATTGCATTTTATGATTTATGAGAATGTTACAAGGGGTTTATATATAGCTCTCAAAGGGGAGGAGCCTATGGTAATGGGGGGAGGAGCTTATGGTAAACTTAATGGGGAGGAGCCTTAGTGGTTCCCCTTTTCCATGGTCAATGTTCCTCCTTAAAATGGGGAGGAGCCTAAGCTTAATGGGGAGGAGGCTCCTCCTTTTCCTCTTAGTGTTTCCCATTTATTTACTTAATCAATA